AGAAAAAGTCAATATAAAAATTAAAGTTCAGTAGTTAAATTATGGATGTTGTTGCACTAGAATCATGAACGAAATGGATTTTTTGATGATCCACAATTTTTACCGATTTATGCTTGAAAATAAGCCCTTTTCTTAAAAGAATGTTATTAGTTCTTATTCGTTTATAGTTTTGCTTTTTCTAATGCTTTCTTATCAAGTTTTTTCTTTGTAAACCTTTTTTTCCAGTTGTGGATTATTACTTTTCACAGTTGCTTCAATTTGTTTTTCTTTACCAAGTTTTTCACATTTCTCATTTCGCAATTCAAGATTACCATTGATATTCTTCCTCTTAGCATCAACATCATTATTTGATTTCTTATTAGTTATCCACAACATTAGAGGGGAACAAGTTCTATCAGATAAAAGATACTTGAATAATAATTTTCTTTTCCTTTATCGTCTGGCTTATTTTCTTGATTAAATGTTCCCTTCTTTGCTTTGCTTTCTTTTTTTGGTACATCATCATCATCATCATCGTCATCATTATATTTATTCTTTTTTACTTGGTTCTGATTTATCTTTATTCGCATCTCGCCTTTTGGCGTTATTATTACTTTCGATTTTGCTGTCTTCAAACGTTGTTAATCGTCGCTTCCTAAATATATGAAACCTACATCAAAAGTTAATAGATTTTTAGAGTCTTTTAAAGCAAGAAACAACAATTATCATCAATGTCAAAGATGTCGTAATGTTTATCAATGATTGACAGATTATTCATACTTGAAGGAAAAGATTTCTGTTTAGACTAAGGTTGAGCGATTCAGAAATTTGGAATCCTAATGACGAGAGCCGTCCCGACTTGAGTTTGCAATGTTCGATAACAGGAAGGGTTATATTCTCCTCACATCTTGACGTCGAAGCACAGCGGTAAACTCCACAAGATGGCCGACGCAAGTTGTGAAATGGCGCCTGCGCTTCCTCCGTCACCCTCTTTGCAGTGACCCTATTCCTTTTTCTATGATCCCACAGCCAACCCAGATCTGTTGCGGAGTTATTCTCCATCCTCGTGCACATGCATACATCCTAACAACCGCCACAATCTAAAATGAAACTTCAACCAGGATGCAGTTGAAATTTTTTATATTTGTGAATGCTACCAGGTTTTCATTACAAAAGAATATAATGAAAATCTTTAAAAACAATTATACATATTAAATTATAAATTGGATATAATCAACTTTTAAGTTTGAATCAAAAAAAACTTTTAAATGGGTTTTTGAATTATTCAAGCGAATTCTTTCAGGTTCAACATTCCTTATTCTGCGTGTAAATAACTGCTACCCTTCTCCAATTAATCAATAAAAGATAACGCAACTTAGGCGACTTACGTCAGACATTTACTTCAACAGTCTTTTTCTAATTAGTAAATGTAACCTACAGGGAATGCAATTCGACTTGATTTGTTAAGATTTAATAAATTGCAACTGCAAATAAGAGTTTGTCAACAGTGACTATGTCTGCACCGATTGATATCCGTTCCACGAAACGTTTGCCACTAGATCTTACCCAACTTTTTTGTGCCCTTGAATCCCGATAAACGATTATTCTATCGTGACCATATATCGTCCACAGCAAGCACTATATGACAAAATCGACCTTCCCTTTTCCGGAATGTAATCAAAGTGCAGAGGCGTGACCGTTCTATCTTCGGCTTGGAGTTTTCTCTAGAGTCACCATCACCCCTTTAACTGTCTCAAACCAAAGTACCAATCTCTTTTACCCATTTGTTCCGCCATCCCTTAAATTTCGGTAGATACCCACTTGTTGGTATCAGCACACGAAAGCAACAGATGCTCCGATGGTGTTGCGTCTTATTCGCGTATAGAGCGAGTCGCGGCGAATTCCAGTTTCATCTCGCACGACCAGCATTCGTTTACACTTCCTAAGACAGTCGCTGACTAAACATTCGACAATTACCCCCGAATTGCCCTTAATTTGCTTTCCAATTCAGGTGCCCACAGTAGAGAATTGTCGTAATTGCTTTCCGACAAACGACCTTTTGTCCCCTTCACGTATTTTTATCGACAAGACTTTTTCTTCTCACTGAATTTTCATTACTTTTTCTTTTCTTCTAAAGCAGTACTTTAAGAAGAAAAAATAATATATATATATTTCAATATAATCAAAAAATGGCAACTATTTAAAACAAATCTTGACATTAAATAATTATTTTTGTAACAAGTATAGCAAAGAACTTTATCTCAACTGAGTATTTAAAAAAACAATTACTTTCAGTTGTGGTGAATAATTTTAATTTTAGCAATGTGTACGATTCCAACTAGAATGCACTAAATTTTAGACAGTTACAGTAACATAAATTAGAGTCGCACAAGTTAAGCCCGGCCTAACAGTGGACAGCTGGGTACTTAGAAATTGTATTTCTGAATAAAGTGTACTTATGTCTGGGACATATTCTTCAGGAAAGAGAAACTCGTTAAATCTCTGTATTAAAGGTTTTTTTCATAGAAAAATGAGTCAAAATTTCTTCAAACACCAAAACAAGTTGATACAATAAGTTTTTCAAAAGCTATTGTGTCTGCAGACAGACACTTTTTCCAAACAATGTTTTTCGGATTTAGGGCACCCTAAAAAATGAAAATTTCATAAAATTAGCAAAAATCAAATTACGCTCGGCAGTAGGTTAAAATATGTTTTCAATAATATAAAATAATTAATTTAAAACAACTATAACTATATATTCATTTTAATTCTAATTTTTAAGGACGGGAGCGAAACTTTTAACTATACTATTCTATATCTGTATCTGGCAACGAACTTCAATTCAAGTGTAAATGTTGTGATAAACATTGCTTTACAGTTTCTCAATAGCTTCCTCATAAACCTGAACCGTTACTACCAGAAATCTGCCTGTAGAACTTTATGGCGTGCCCAGTAAGAAGACTTGAGTTAAAAAGTATTAAAAATTTCACGATAAAAATACATTGTATCATGTTTGGTACATTCTTCCCCTAAAGCATGACATTATTTGTGAATGTTTTTAAACATAAATCAATATTCTAAAAAAATTAATTATTTATATGAAACGAAAATAGTGTATTAACTGCCGATAATAATTAAAAATTGACATCTTCCGAAAATTCTCTATGAGGGGAACCAAACCAATAAAAAATAACCGATTTTTCTTAACCCAGTGTTGCCACGCAACCTGGAAACCTGGAAAACCTGTAAATGTCAGGGAATTTGAAAAGAGCAAAAGCGTGACCATCCTGTTATCCTGATAAGGAAGTTAACCAAGTTAGGCGTAAGAATTTGAATAAAAGAAGGATATTTAGAAAGTGAAAGGTATTAAATATACTTGTGGTATTTCTTGAAATTTATCAACAACAGTTTTCTGTTATTTTCGACTAGGATTCAAGAAAGCATCAAAGTTGGATGTTGGAGAAATGTTTTGTGAGAGGCTGAGAGCGATCATTGGCTGTGGAATGATGCGCATTCGTTTGCTACACAGATTGGTGGGTCTTAATGGACTCTCGCAAAGAAATTCATTAGATGATTGTTTAATTAAGTTAATCGACGAAGAGCTATTCGATTCTGGCGTCTTGCGGCTATAAAGTCTACTTTATGCTGCCATAGAGTCTAGGTACTAAAGCCACACCAAATTACTGAATTAAAGCCTTGCGCGGCATTCACCATCGCATTACGAGAAGCCAAGCTGTGCCTTCAATAGAACGAAAACTTTACTTTTCTTTGAATTACTAACCCTTCGAGTTCACCCAACACGCATTCAATTTCACAAAATTGTTCAAATGTTATCGAAAAAGGTACATCATAGTTTTAGTTTCATAAAAGTAATTTCCAAATTTATTGTGAAGAGAAAGTCCTGCAATCTGCAAACTGCATAGAACGGAATAAAATAATAGGAAACAAAAAATGGTGAAAGGAAATAAGAGATGAGTTGCGTTTCACGCCCTTTTTCGTTAAAAAACAGAGGTTAGATTAGGGGTTGGTCCGTCCTCTTTTTCTTTGTAGTAGGCAGTCATCGGATCTCGTTTGAAATTAACTTCTCGTGTCAAGAGGTTGTCGTGAAGGAAACTTTTCTCTTCTCAGGGATAAATAAAAGTCCGGGAAAAAAGAGGATGACCGCGTCGAAACTACAGGTTTTGTGTGGCTGTAAGCCTGAAGATTTCTTCTACTTTTTTCATTCTCTTCTTCTTCTTCTTCTTCTTCTTCTTTCACATAAAGCGACGTTGTTAAAAGTATTAATTTCTTTTTTCGTTTTTTAGTTGAAACACTGAAAGCTCTTAGAAAGGTATGGAAGTCTGGTAAATATTTGAAAAAGCAAAAAGATGATAATTTGATGTTTTGTACATTCCTTAAAATTGAAATGAAACTAAAAGAATACAAGTAAGGGTGGGTCCCCTTTTATTGGGTGGAAAACAACATTGAATACAAGATATCTGCTTTTTTCTCGATGCTTTTTTTAGCAAGTTTGTTGTGAATGAAGTTAAAATGTATTTTGGTCTTTTGTCTATAAAACGTGCACTAGTGTCAGATCGATGGACTTTTATTTTTCAATTCCCCAGATTCATGTAGATTTATTCTGTAAATCTAACGAAGTTAGGTTTTTATTTTTCATGCGAAATCGCCTGGCAACGAATTCGTATTCCTAGCTGTACGGAAAAGCACGATCACGTCGGTTTTCATTTATTCACAAGAGTTAGCGTGGTTTCGCAAAACCGCACCATGCAAATCAATCGAAACATTCGAAACGTGGCTAATCGGCATATCCGGCTGATTTGTCGGACTTGGCATTTGTTTTCCGTTCGTGTGTGCATTAATCGACGTTAGCAAAAATAAGCAAAAATAAGCAAATAATAATAAAAGAAAATAAAAACTGATTGTGCTTAAGCGTTTTGCCAATGTCGATGAAATGTATAATGAGGCACTTTTATAATTTGTGGAATTTTAGAGAAGGAACAACGCAATAATAATAACAATAATTAGTTAATTAAGAACCTTTTTTATTCAAGTAAAATATTTCAGTAATAACCCATTGGATATGGTTATTATTATTTTAAAGCAAATAGTAATTTTATATAAAGATCTTGATCTTTTATTCACTTCTATTAATAAAATTAATAACTAATATATATTATTCATTATTATTCTCTCCATGTAGCTTTAAATTAAAATGGTAATTTAAAGTAAGTTGCTGTGATGTATGTAAATTTGATGACTTTCAGCTGGTGTGAAGTGGTGAAATAATATTCAACACATTATTTTTCTTCTCAAGAATGTCGCTAAAAATTGCAATAATTTTATCAGAAATTTGCAAGCAATTCATAATAATGAAATTTATAAGCAAATTCATAAATAATATATATAAAAAATTTAAACCTTTGGACAGCAAATTAATCCTTGACTCTCTGATTGACGATCATGACATCTATATACAAAACCATTGTTGAGCAAGGAATTATTACATAAAGCAGGTTTCACACAAACTCCATCGATTGTAGATCTGTTCCATGGATATCGGCAACTGATTTCTGCTTCTTTTTAACAAAATAATTAAATATAACTGAAGCGGGTAATTACTATAAAATTATACCCAAGTAGCACGTATTAATACGGTAATGTTACTGTAATATTAATTGCTACATGGGTATAAGTACAAATTTTTGTTTTAATATTTACCTTCAGCTTCTTCAATAGTCTTTATAAACACATTCATGTAAAGTGGATATTTAACCAACGAATACCGAGAACACAAAATAATTATTTTAAATTAGCAGTCTAATCTTTTTATTATTTCAGTAAATAAAGATAATTAAAGTTGATCACATAAATGAAAAATTTAAGGCAATTGAAACAATCTTATTTTTCTTAAAAGATGAATATTTTATGAAAATCGTTGAAATTTTCTAAACGTCGAAAATTTAATAAAATTCATTTTGGCTGAATAAAAGAATAATTGATTCAAGTATTTAGTTTTTACTGGCAAGTTAAAGTTTTAATGCTCATATAAAACACAAATAATAGGAACAAATTTAATACCTTCGGGCAGCAAAATAATTCTTTGTTGTGATCATTACAAGGAAATAGTACTGCTGATTCAGAAAAGGTTTTGCAGTCACTCGATTTTATGCATGTTCCTGGTAATGTTATTCCATTCGCTTGTCGATAATTACAGTTTTCTGCTTCAACAAAAATGTTTATAAAATTACAATTTTACTGTAAGAAAAAAGTTAGTATTATGTGTCTTAAATTAAGGCATTTTTAAGATACTTTTGTCCCACTTTTAAGACACTCGTTTCTGTAGTGCAAAAAAGAGTTTTATTTTCTTTATTTGAAAATATTTTTATAAAAAGTTAAAAAATAATATAATAGAAAAAAGATTTTTTAAATTGTCTTCTGCACTTTCAAACTACTCAAAAAGTGACAATTAAAAGTAAATATATGAAAGAAGAAACTACATAGGAATACTTTAGTGTCCATATGAAAGAGGAAAAAATGCTGCAAAAGAAGAGGAATCCTCTAAAATTGACAACTTTTTTTCGGCGCACAATAAGAAAAATAAAAAATAGATCGTATACAGTAATAAATATAATAAGAAATTGAACAATGAACATTTACCCATTACCACGCTGGAAACAATACACAAAAAGACGCAGATTACTGATGACAACATTGTTGAACAAGAGGAAGTATTTTCTAGAAGTAATTGAAAATTAATATTACTTGCAGCTTATATAGAAAACTTAATGGAATATTATCGATGGATAACTAATTATTTTAATTTAAAATTTAAAATTTTATTAGAATAATTAATAGAAAATTATCCTATGAATAGAAAAATGTGTCTCATGAAAGTGTAATAAATGATAAAAATATTATATTTGATAAATAATTATTCATCTCTAATATAATCAGTAGATTATGTAACAGATTTTTAGTCACGCAGCTGTAAGAAGGGGGTCAAAGAATTGTAATTAAGTGTGACATAAATTTAAATATAACTATTGAAAACAAAAATTAAAGATTACTGTCTAATTATATAACCCAAGTAGTATACGGAATATTATCTTGATGATTAGAATATTATATTGGATATTCGTACTGGGATATGAAACTATCCGTTGCATGATGATATCACATGTAACATTACCTTAATATTAACGTAATATTATTTCTTGAATTAAGAAAAGATTTAAGAGAGATTATTAAAAGAAAAAGAAAATATTTAATTAAGCACTAACAAAAACAAAGTTATGTCAATCTAAATGGAATTATTAATATTCCATTTGAACAGACATATTTAAATTAAACATATGTATGTAGATAATTTCCATTTTTCGTATCTTTTCAGCTTATAGGCAAAATTGATGAAATTATGACATGATCAAAAATCACTAAAAAGTAAAAATAATTTAGTTTTATGAATTATTTAATAACTATTGTTATTACATAATTGTTGTTGATTTTGTAATTTTTCTTGTTAATAGCTAAAGATAAGGAGTTTGAAAGTAATAAGAGTGAATTATTACGTTTACCATGTTGTCTAGAAGTGAAATTGAATTTGATATTTTTCTCTGTCGTAGTAAAGCGAAATTTTCAAAGTAAACAAATTCTGAAATTTATCTAGGTACTTCAGTTTTAAAAATAAACTGGACTCGAAAGAGGTCCTGGCATTGATTTACACTTGAAACTGTAACTTTGGCTTTGGTGAGGATTTCTTCATTTTTTTTCTTTTCCTTTCGCGTGTTTTACTTTGTATCTTGTAAATCGAGTTTCTGTCATTATGTTGTTGAAAGTCACGGAGAAGACAGCAGCACAGAGACAAAGGGAACGACCGCAAAAACTTTTATGCTCGTGAATTTGTATCTGGGTCGTAGACGTGTTTTCTGATGGCGGGGGTTTGATAGAAAAAAGAAAGAAAGTAAAACAAAAAGTCATGCTAGGAAAACCCCTTTTGGGTTTAAAAGCATGAAGCTTTCCGCAAATTCCACACGTCACCGAGATGCATCGAGTTACGCGAAATTCAACGCCAAATGTCATCGAAGACTTGGTTTCGTCGCGTCCTGCTGCTGACATTCTTGTTTCACAATTTCGCAATCATGATTTACTTGACTTGAATTATTTCATGGATTTTGTCTTGTATTCAATTTATTTATAACTATGCTCTGCTCTGCTCTTTAGATTGGGAAATGTTTTAGACCATTCAGGGTTGCCACAAAAATTTAAGTTTGTTTTTCTCTGACTTTTCCCTGATTTCCAAACAAAATTTTGATTTTTTCCTTGACCCAAAAGAATATTCTGATTCACTCTAAAAATTATTAGATACTCAAAAAAATGTCTATTACATTTATTTACGATTTCCTTAATTTTAAAATTATTCAAAATCACCAATAACTTCATTTTTAAAGAAATATTTAATCAATATTATTTTTCCATTATCAATAACTGATAAAAATATTATTGTAAAACATGAAGAAATGGATCAGTAATCGATTTCTTCATGTTTTATAATAATTAAAGATGCGACTGAGTGATAAAATCATTCTTTAAATTATAAGAATATTATTACTGCAAGTCCTTCAAAACTATTTTCATCCTTTCAATTATTATTTTCTATAGAATTTTTACCTAACATTCTTCTTTAAATCAATTAATTTTTATAATTCTTACCTATTTTTCGTATTTTTCTAAATTAAGTAGTAAAAATAAATTTCAGTCAGACTTTATTTCCTATTTTCCGTATTTTTCCAAAATAAGTGGTAAAGACATGTTTGGTCAGACGTTATGTCCTATTATTAATATTTTTCTAAATTAAATAGTAAAAATAAATTTTAGTCAGATTTCATTTCCTATTTTTTGTAATTTTCCAAAATAAGTAGAAAAAACAAGATTTAATCAGACATAATTTCATATTTTTTTTGTTGGAAAATAAGAATAATCAAATGTTCGTGTAGAGTTCTACTTTCCCTGACCTGTGCCAACTCTGCAATTAATTTATTATATCGAAATTATGTCCATCTACCTTTGTAGTTTACATTAGGAAAACAGTATTTAATCCAAACATAAATGCTAGAGGTGTGCAAAAAGCTCGAATAGCATGGTCGAGCTCGAGCCAGGCTCGAGTTTTAGTTACTCAAAAATATTTGAGTGCTCGAAAAATTCAAGTGCTCAAAATTATTTTAGGTTTAATACTGCACGTGTCGGATGGAATTTGGTTCAAGTTCGGATTGATTCTGCTCAGCTCTGCTAGAAAAACGAAAAGCTTGAAATACTCGATCGAGCTTTTTGCACAACTCTAATAAATGCCAATCAAAAAAATTTGTTTCAATTAAACATAATTTATGTTGAATTAGACTTACTATTATATGTGCTAAATCAAATCTATTGTGGTTGATTCAAACATATTGTTTACAACATTTTATTTCACATTTTCACCATTGACAATAGTAATTAATATCTATATTAAATGAAACACATTTTAAGGACAAAATTGTCAGTTATTGATTTAGGTGTGTGAAAATGTTGCGTTATATTAAAATGTAAATAAGCAACTGTTTAATGCTCATAACCGTAAATTAAATAACATCAGAGATGATTAAAAATAAAAGAAGGTGAAAGAATTTAATGTGTAATATGTTTTGTGAAGCAAGCAAGATATTATTTAATCACTAAGGATAATTTCCTTGATGATTAAATAATACCGCGTTCATTTGAAAGAGGTGCAGTTAGCGAGAGTTAAATTTTAATCAGACGTAAATGTGACGATCATAACTTTTAATTGTCGAATAAAGAGAAAAAAAAAATGAAAATTTCTCAACTGTTGTTTCACTTCTGTTAATTTGATGTGAATTTACTGAATTTAGTTGATGATTAAAAAATTCGAATGAATTATAATTTTTTTACTTTCGAGAACTATTTCTAAACAATCATTGATTTATCTAAGGAATTATCAGAAATATTCTACTATAATTACATTGAATTTTGCAAATATTAATAAATTTACAAGAGTTAACTAAAAGTTTATTTTGAAATACAACTTACATTTCGCACTACCTTTCCGCTTTTTTTACCCATCCCCCTTTACTTCAGCCAAACTGTTATCACTTGCGAACAAAATGGGGGAAATGCGGATGAATGTATCGATAAACCGATTAAATTCATGCGGGTTTCGTTCAGCCCTCTATTTTCTGAAAATCAACGGCGCCAATATTTCACAGGTGTGGTTAGGTTAGGATAGGCTTTCCAAATGATCGTCACTCTGTGACATTTTACGTTACCAAGCGTCATCGATCAATAGCTGACGCCCCTGAATATAGTTTCTTAATTTGACAGGAGTCAATAAAATACCTGCTGGCGAATATTTATTCGCGTTTCATTTTTTAGCACCACTAAATACTAGGGTATTATTATCGGAAAAAAATAATTTTAAACATTTTTTTTACTTGAGTGAAATTACTCGCTTTTAATTAAGGGTGGAAATTCACAATTTCGATATAGCTATATAAGTATTTTTGCAAAATATAATAAATAAATGTTATCAAGAATTTTCGTCATTAGAAAAGGAAAAGTCATAACAATATCTATAAGTATTTTCAAGCGATCCGTGTGTATATGTAACAGAAAATGGGCGCCATTTGAGAGAGTTAAATTTTAATCAGACATAAATGTGACAGACATAACTTTTAATGGTCCAATAAAAAGAAGAAAATGAAAATCGTTTAACTGCTCAGTAAAATCAGTCTTGTATACATGCGCATTTATATGTGAATTTATTCTGGCTGAAGTGATTCGCCTTTCTTTCTGTGTCGCTAATAATTTTTTCGCCCAAAGATTTAGTAACGTTATTTTCAATTGTTTGCGCATTTACATTCACCCTTTTTCCTCTGTTTTTGCACATCTCGAATGGAAACGGAAAGTAAAAAGGGGAAACACGAATGAACGTGTAGATAAAAAAATATGAGTCTCTCACAACCTCGATAGTTTTGAAAAAAGTCAATATTTTAACTCAACTAAAATGTCCTTGTTTCAAACATTTTTTACTCCAGCTTTTAACAATTTCAGGAGTCCAGGTGGATCATGAAGTTTTATTTTTCAAATTTTTCTCTCAATTATTTCATCTTTCCTCGACTTTTGGAAACATACGTTCCAAGTGACTCAATTTTTCCTGTTCTCCCAGTCCTCGTGCATTTCTTGTGCTCGACAGTGGAGAAGACTAGGTTGTGTCAGACAAGTGGCTGCCCGCCAGCAAAGACCTTTTCATTGACTAATGCAGGGCCCGAACTAGGTTTTAGAGAAATAATTTTAAAGAAATTACAAATGATTTCAGAAATCCAATTATTTTCAAAAATCGATTTAAAGAAGAATTTTATGTTAAAAATTCTTGAAAATAATAATATTGAATTGATAATAATTTTATCACTTGGTCATCTTTAATTATTGTAAAACATGAAGAAATCGATAGTCGAGGACTCGGAGTTATCGATATCTTCATGTTTTATAGAATTATGAAAATTTTAATTTATAGTTTTAAGTAAAATGTTCTCTTACTCGACTCGGACTGGTTATATTTTTGTCCCTAAATGGTCAGTAATTTTTAATTTTTGATCCTAAAGTCGGTATTTTGAAATACGGTTTGTCTGGTTCGAGCCCTGTTAATGATAATTGTCCGTTTGGAATGAAAAACGTCACTCACAAACAACAACTGTGTAGTTTTAGAAATGTACGTAACGAGATCGAAGTCTTTTAAAT